ACATTTTACCCTAAAGTAACTAGGAATGGGAATTTGTAAACATGTAGTTACTTTATAATTAACATTATACTTTTAATGAGGAGAGGGTTGCCCTATCCTACCCGTTCGGCTAACGACCCTCCACCAGTCAAGCAAGCGGTAGGTGTGAGTGTACACCCATTAAGCGCCATTTTATAGGCAGCAACCTTATACCCACCTTATAGACCGGCTTCGTGAATGAGGCCTACTAACGGTAAGACTAGCATTTTAAGTTATATATATATATATATATATATATATATATATATATATATATATATATATATATATATATATATATAACTAAACTTGTAATAATATATAATAGTATAGGTTGAATTTTAAACTTGTAAAATTCTAAGGGTTTGAAATTTAAATTACTCAAAATTAAACTTTTAATCATAAATTCAAATTTCAAAACTTAAGGGCAAGTATTGAACTTTTCAAAACATAAGGGATCAAATAACAAATAATTCAAATTAATCAATTAATTTCAAAATTATCTATATTTGACCTAATCTTAATTTTAGTCATTAGATAATTACCAAATAATTTTAAATAATCCATATTTATCACATAAACAACTAATATTAAAAGGATTTGAAATTATCTATTATTTTGGCAAGGATAAACACTTAATTAAGATAAAATTCGGATTTTAACTTTATAAAACAAATTAAGCATCAAGTCCAAGTCAAAACAGCAGCCAAAACCCGAAAATCCCTAATTCTGACGAACTGACTCGTTGAGTCAGACCTGGACTCGCCGAGTAGGGGTCAACTCGTGGAGTCCAGATACTGACTCGCCGAGTTGAGTCGGACAGGGACCAAAAAATCGATTTTCAGCAAATAAAGCAGTTAAGCATCACATTCAACTGAAACCATTCAAGGCTCTGATACCACTGATGGGTTTTATGCATAAGAAACATTCCTATGTGCTCATACAAAACCCTAATGCTTGGATCTAGGTTTCACTATTGAACATGCTTTGATTCCAAGACTTATAAACCCTAATATAGCATATTGACAACAAAACTAACATATAGAATCAGATCTAGATGTTTACCTCTTCAAGAGTTGGCTTAGATCTTCTCTTTTTTCTTCTTTTGAGCCTAGAGTCACACATGCAACTCCTCTAATGGTTCACAAACCCTACAAGCAAGAAGGCAATACGAGAGAGGGAGAAAGAGGCTAGAAATCGGCCTAGGGTACTCTTAGAATCAAGTGGTAGCCGAATTCAAAGCCCTAGGGGTCATATTTATACTTACAGGTTACTAGGGTTTCAATCTAAACCCTAATGGACAGCTTAGCCACCAAGCAGCCCATGGAACCTTCTGGAATAAGGCCCTTGGACAAAATTATGATGGTTACCCATCATAATTTCGTTCCCCCTTAAGCCCATTAGGTTTCCTTAACCAAAAACTCAACTATCATACATTTGACAGTTTAGACCCCTTTATTCAACTAATCTCTTTTGACCATTAAATTAATTCTTAATTAATTCATGACCAATACTAATTAAATAAATATGATTTCTCCTTTAATATATTACTCTTATAATATATTAATAAATCATAATACTCTCTCTTTCCCCTTAAATTACCTTGTCAAGTTGCTTTGGAGAAGGCAACCCAAAAGGACCATGCACAACCGGGTCAAGTACATACCAAATATAGTTACGGGCTTAGACACTATTCCAACAGATCAGACCCCAACTTTTGAACTTTCTTATATGCTTGCCTCGGCCTAGTAGGGACCGAATTGTCCTCGAGCTCTTATTCCTCTGGTTCGTGTACGTTTTCTTGTTGAACCGTCTCATGTTCAATATCATCGTGAATACCACCATGATCTTCCTCGTGAACAAGACTAGAACCTTGTTGGCTTTTAGGTTCTTATCAACTACTTGAGACTTGACCGTCTCAATGTCATCACATGGGACCGTAGCTTTTGAAGAAGCTACATTGGAGTTCTCATCAAAAGTAACATCCCTACTGATTATAAACTTGGAATCTTCCAAACACCAAAGATGATAGCCTTTCACACCTGATACATATCCCAAGAATATTGCCTTCTTGGCTCTTGCTTCAAGCTTTCCCTTACTAACATGATAATAGGCTGTACACTCGAAGATTATGAGTTTCTCATAATTTGCATGTTCCCCTAACCATACCCTATAGGGTATATTTCCATCTAGAGACGCATGAGGAGACCGATTGATAATGTAGCAAGCTGTAGCAATCGACTCTGCCCACCATTCTCTGCCCAAACCAACATATGATCGCATACACATTGATCTCTCTCGCAATGTACGATTCAGCCTTTCTGCAACTCCATTTTGATGTGGTGTTTTTCTGACCGTCCAATGTCTAGCAATTCCTTCATGATCACAAAATTTCTTGAAGGCACCTTCTGTATACTCTGTACCATTATCAGATCGAAGTGTCTTCAATTTCTTGTTTGTTTTGTTCTCAACCATTGCTTTCCACTTCTTAAACGTGTCAAATACCTCATTCTTGTGTTTCAGAAAGTAAATCCAAACATACATAGAATGGTCATCCACAAAAGTGACAAAATATTTGGAACCTCCCTTGGAAGCGACTGAAGCCAGACCCCAAACATCTGTATGCACATAGTATAAAATTCCTCTGCTTTTGTGTTTGCTTGATTTGAACTGAACCCGATGTGCTTTACCGTACACGCAATGCTCACAAAAATCCATGCAAGGCTTCTTCAAGTTCTTCAACAAACCTTCTTTACCAAGCAGATCAAGACCCTTTTCGGATATATGCCCAAGTCGTGTATGCCATAACCGAGTGCTTTCACATGGGTCACCACCACTACCATTTGTTCCAACTACTGCACCATCTGTTACAGTTGTACCTGAAAGAATGTAAAGGTTTCCTTGATGAATACCTTTCATTACAACCAAAGAACCACGAACAACCTTCTTTACTCCTTCCCATGTAACTATCTTACACCCACTGTAGTCCAATACACCTTCAGAGATGAGATTCTTTCACAACTCAGGAACATGTCTCACATCCAATAAAGTTCTAACCACTCCATCATGCATTTTGATTCTAACAGAACCGAGCCCAACCGTTTTGCAGGAATGGTTATTTCCCATTACCACGGTTCCACCATCCATGCTCCTATAGTTAGTAAACCACTTCCTATTTGAGCACATATGGTACGAGCAACCTGAATCAATAATCCATTTACCAGAGATTTCTTCATCAGAAGTGTCAAAAGTAACACTCATCATTGCTTTCTTCTCCCGAGGCATAACTATTCTCTTGTGCATTTCCTTTGTTGTTGTTGCTCTTTTCTTTGTTCCATCCTACTCTATTGTTAGGATAGTTTGCATTGAAATGTCCAAGCTCGTCACACTTAAAACACCGCCTTTCAGCAAGAGTTCTAGATTTAGATCTAGACTTTCCTCCTTTGCCTTTCCTCTCTCATTACTTCTACCTCTTGCAAACAATCCTTGTGCCTGGTCTTTGTTACCACTAGCAGCAACCATGTCACAAGTTGCAATCTTTCGAAGATCATCCGTTAGAATTGACGTTCTAGTCTCATCTATCGTAAGGCTATCACCCACACACATCAATGTTTGTACAAGATTCTCATAAGACTTTGGCAACGAAAGAAGTAGTAAAAGTGCTTGATCCTCATCTTCTACCTTCACATCAATGTCTTTTAAATCTGATATACACCTATCAAATTTACTGATGTGTTCCCAGATTGAAGAACCTTCATCCAAATTACAAGTAAACAATTTGGACTTCAAATAGATCCTGTTTGTTAGAGTTTTCGTCATGAAGCAACATCCCTTTCAAGGCATAAAATGATCGATGCTCGTGCTTCAAGATCTAACTCCTCCCAATCCTCATCGGACATATCTTTGTACTTCTTTGTCTTACCCACCAAAGCCTTGTGTAACTTCTATGAGATTAATAAAATTTTCATTTGCATCCTCCAATAAGAAAAATCATTCTTCCCATTGGACTTCTCTAATTCATACTTCCCAACTTTAACCGTTCCACTTGTAGATGCCATTTACCTGCTTGTTTGAAAATCTGCCTCTCTCAGGACTTTTATCAAACACCTTGTGTGCAGAACACAAAAATACCACCTAAATACCTCAAATCTGAGCTCTACCACCCGAATTTGATATTAAGCTCTGATACCAATTGTTACTTCATCTATACAATGCAGAAAAATAATACCACCTTGACAGCAATTAGCTTATCTGTTTGTATTCCCGTTTTGCCCTTAGACCCAAGAACAAGCAATGACAATAACCAAGATAAAAGAAAGCAAATAGAGAATGAAGAACAATAGATTTAACGTGGTTCAGCAATAACTTGCTTACATCCACACGAAGAGAGAAAACTTTTATATTAGGTTAAGAAGCAATTTACCTCACCTTATGTTCCCTTGTTACAAAACTTATGTGCATCTCTCTTTACAGCTGAAATCAGCATATAAGCAAACATATATGGGCCTACAAACATTGGGCTATTAACTGGGTCATTTAATCCAAAACAGTTGGGTTGACCCAAGTCAACTTAAGCTAAGATCTTTGGGCTGACCACTTACAATTACCACTACAGAGTTCTGGACTATAATATGTGGGAAAAAATGTTTATATCAGAATAGTAATTGGACTATAATGGGCTGTATACTACTTAATCTTAAGAACAAGTCACTTGTCTCGTGTAGCCTCAAAATTTTGGCTTACACAAATTATTTTGTTTCTTGACATGTTATTTACTTTCTCATATATAGTAGATATGGGCATTTTTGTGTATGTGGTGTTTGTTACTTAGGATCATATTCTATATTCTTTATCGTTTATCTGAGGTGCATATATATGTCCAATCTTCTGCGTGCAACATGTGCTACTTTGTCATATTCGATGTCTACCTGCACTTAGTTGAGTTGATTTCACGATGATTCATTGGCTGCCTCAATTAATACCCATCTTGTAAATTAGGATTGCATATCGTGATTGACATTACATAGTATACAGAAGTTGTAAAGGTTAAAATAAAGGCTAACAAAAACTACTGAAGCATAGCCATAACCACACTTTTACCTAAAAAAAGAGACACATACGACTTATTCTTATCATGCATATATAAAAGCTAAACCCATACAGCATGCATGGGCATTCTTGAGTAGCCTGCCCTTGAGATGGAGTGTCATGATCTCATTTGGACAGCTATGATCAGCTCCTGCCCTATAAATTAAACTTGTCTTACATATATCCTACTGCTTTCAGCTCTCTTTAATAGCTGCCCTATAAATTTGGAGATTCAGCAACAGCTTTTACTAAAAGTTACCACTGGTTTTTCAGCAGCCAACCTTGTAAGTTGAAACCATGGCCATTATCTGAAATAAAATAACTGAGATAATAAGAATTATGAAGAAAGATCAAGGGATTGGCGGAAATGATTGAGCTCAAATCAAGACTATACGTATAGAGGCTTAAGGCAGTTTCACTGATTTTAGTGGAAGATATGAAAGAGGGACTGTTGTATGAAAAAGACATCGACTGTTTCGAGATTATGCATACATGAGGGACCTAGCAGCGTGCATGTGTCATTGGTGCATTAATCTTTACAAAGATGCCAAAATTCAAAAGAATATATATTTTGGTACTCAAATGAGAATAAGATAAAGTTTTGGGCATCTCAATCATGGCATATTTTTCTTTCTTTTTCTTTCTTTTTTTTTTTTAACTTATTTTCTCAACTTTTTAATGTTACTGGCCTCAAATGTTTTATAGCAGAATTATTTGTTTCATATATGTTACACATGTAACCACAATAAAATTTTGAGAAGGTTACTCATGATATTACACATATATTCTAAAAGACTCGCATTACTCAACCATAATAGTCATATTTCATACGAAATGTGGAGTGATTTTTTTGTCTTTTCAATATCTTCATAATTAAACCCATATGGCATTTGCCTCTTTGAGCAAGTCCACCAGCTTGCCCTTGAGTTGGAGGCTCATTATCTCATCAGGGCCACCAACCAGTTCATGGCCTATGAAAACTGCTGGTACACTCGGCCTACTACTATCCAGCATCTTCAGCTCTCTCTCCATTTGCTGCCCCTTTGGGTCTTCATCTATCTCATACACTGTAGCATTCACCCCATAACTTCTTATCAGAGTCTTGATGGAATGGCACATACTGCAAGTGCTTTTGCTGAATATCACCACCGGCTTTTCAGCACCTAAGCTGGTAACCAAGGCCATTAGACGTTTATAAGTAAGGAAAAGAAATAAGTTTGTAATTAGAATGAAGACCTTACCTTGAAGAAATTGGAGCACCCATTGTGACTATATATAAGGGGTTGAGAGTAATGAATTAAAATGAGTGGGATATTGTTCTTAAAAGAAACCTTATCTGATGCTGAGATTACTCTTACAACTAATGGTATGCTGGACTTTGTAGAGTGAACATGTACGTTAGTTTTATTTATTAAATTGTTTTTTCTAAAAATGCGAATAATTGGAGAAGGGAGAATATGTCTTTGTTACCAAAGATAGAATTTGGATTTCATGTTAACTTTTTTTAGATTCCAATGTGTAAATATTTAAAGTGAACAGACAGTGTAATGACAAAAGGATGGTGGAATTTCTAAATAGTTAGATGCTTATTTAGCATGATAAAGCACATAGAGTCCGTACAAGTAGGGATTCTTGTTAATTAAGACCCGTTTTCTTGTAAACTTGATTTTTCATACTTGTTTTGCATTCCATGTATTGAGTATTTGACTAATTAAGACCCGTCTTCTTGTTAGCTTGATTTTCGGTTCTTCATTCTGATTCTTCTTTTTTAATTCTTGATAACCAGAAATTAGAAGTGCAGAAATTCTTTTTGACTTTCATACCTGAAGCTAATGTATAAATATATAGCAGCTGTAAACAAGCAAGTCTCTTAATTCCCTGTGGTGTTTTTTCTGCATTCTCTATAATTGTATGGATTATAATAAAGTAATTATGGTTCGAGGCCAAATAATGTATCCTCTGAACTTAATACGGATCCAGAAAGAAATGAAAGACAATATAGTATGATGGTATCTAAGATATTAAATTCATATTTTCTATTTATATAGTGTTTTATTAACTATTATTTTATCTTGGTAATCATTCATAATGCATTATGCTTCACTAATGACTACTTGCGCGCCTCACTTTCGTGATGCGTGCGCATTCGCATCGTGCATCGCATCGGAGCGAATCATGCATTTTAAAACCAAGGTAGGGAAGCAGATACCACATGTCTCTTTTTGCACTGTGAGATTATTCACAAGAAATTAAACCTTGGTCTTTTAAGATCACTTGGTTGGTTAGCAAGTGCCATATCTACTAATTAACTTTCAATGAGAAAACTATTAAGACTATGTTTGGTGCATCACAGCTAGCTGATAAGTTAACTTATTTTTTTAGTTTTTTTTATGCTGTAATATTTGGCAAACCAAAAAATAGTTTAAAATATAATCTAGTTTTTTAAAATGCTACTTGCACTAGTTTTTCGGGAGCTTTTTTAGAATTTACCAAATATACCCTTAATTAATTATAAACATCATATTTTCTAAATGGCCTTTTATGTCATTATATATGTTTCAACTAGTTTATCAACTAGTTTTTACCAAACGTAATTTTTTTTTATCACCCAACGTTTCGGCTAATACACCAAACATAGCCTAAGTACACCATGTAGGTGTTGTGGCTCTTAGAGTTTGTGATGAAGACATATAGTTCTTTTTAGCCTTTGTAGAGAATTCAAGGTCTATCTCGATCAAGATAGATGTATTGGATGAATATATCCCCTAATCTTTTTTGTTTGATGATGGTGATGGATCAAATGAAACCGTACGATCGGGAATAATTAAAATAATTTATTATTTCCTGGTACTAGACATGGCTACATACATGCACAGCCCAAAAGCCGAAACAAGAGGAAAACTATGCCATGTGGTATGAACCGGAGGAATCAATTTGTATAACTGGCCAAAGCCGAAACTAAGGGACATTAATTTATATAGGCTCACTAACTTATACAATATTTAATGCCTATCAGTAAACTTATATATATCGACTTTTGTGGGATGTCATTCATATTTTCCTTGTCTTCACTGCTCAAGTTAACTTGTTTCACCATAAAATCCTGTTTTGGAACTTATTCTTTTCACTTGCAGATCTTAGTTCTATAAATCTAGCTAGATCAGGAAGCAAGATCAGTAATCAAGCATAGAAATCTCACCTTTGGTCATCATTTTGTTAATGGGACAGAAAACCATGTTATAACGACATTTTGTTTATATTTTGATTTTTTTTTCTGCATAAATACAATCGCACGATTCTTTTTCCATTTGTTATTTTGCTTTATCATAGAGACCCATTAGTATGCACACGGTTTTTGTGTACATGGAGACAATTAAAATAACCTATGAATTTCCACCCAAAGTTAACTGCTGAAGTAAGAGTACTCAATTTAGCCATTTGTTAATATAGGGTCTAATGCAAACTATTACTATGATGTATAGGGGTACTTTGAGGTTATCCTAGCAATCTTGTATCATATAATTTATCAAAGTAGCAATATCAATGATCAATGACCACAGCAGAGCCTTGAAGTATAAGCTTCTATAATGGAGGGAATTAAGGAAAAAATTGAAATCTGAGAATATCTCTTGTCCTTAGGTTGCTTCTGTTTGCAGTAATGCATCTTGACTCACATGGGCAACCAGAATGCAATAAATCTGTATAGTGGTCATAACATTTTGGATCACCGCTACAAGACTACAAGACGATAGATATTAAGCATATTAACACACTTTTAACATCATATTCTAACACTAAGGAACTCTTATTGTTTCTCAAAAGGTAGTGAAATTATCTTATCTCTTATTGTTTCTCAAAAGATAGTGAAATTACATATGGAAGTTAGCACATTAGTTATCATTGGCCTCAGAAGAGCAAAAAGATGGCTAAAAATATTTCTTTCTGTTCCTGTCTAATGACTAGAATCCATCAATCTGCTGTTCATAGTTGTGTCAAAATAGCTCCAACCTCGACAATATTAATGTAGCAATTTGATATTTGTGAATATCTTTGACTAAAGCCATATGGCATTAGCATTAAGGAGCAAGGGTACCAGCTGACCCTTGAGATGAAGGCTCATAATTTCATTGGCACCACCAATGAGCTCCTCTCCTATGAACACAGCTGGCACACTTGGCTTGCACCCTAATCCTCTCAGTTCCTTCTCTATCTGCTTCCCTTGTGGATGCTCATCTACCTCATAAACTCTAGGATTTGCCCCAAAACTGCTTATCAGTGTCTTAATTGTGTAGCACATGCAGCAAGAGCTTTTGCTGAATATAACCACGGGCCTTTCATTCACCAGTGCTGTAACCAAAGCCATTTCTGGAAATTCTAGCAGTCGATGTTTTATAAAACAACACTAGCTAATTTAGTAGAATAAACCGTTGCAGGTGTATTTGCAGAAAGTTTGGTGTGATGTTTGCTGTGAGTAATGTAAGCTACTGCCATGGCTATATATAGTGATAAGTGTTGAAAATTTTGGGCGGTGGTTCTTATTAGATTCTGAAAAAAGATCATATTCTTTATCAGACTTGCAGATATGATAGGAAATTACTGAGTAATTGTGTAGTATATAACAAGTGGCTTATCTTCTCTATAGGTTGATATGCATGGCAGAAAAATACATATCAGAATGACATCTTTAACCTTGGGAATCTGTTAAAAAGTTCTTGGCAACTATATCTTTGGGTGGGTATAGTTTGGTAATTACATGTAATGTTGAACGCATGTATTTTTGTTAACTGCAAAGTCTAGAGGTTTCTGATATTTCTTTTTTCAGAACATCTCTGCTTAGATGAGGAATATGCTTATCCAATTGACAGCCTCCTCCACTTCCCACCCTCAAAAGAAAAAAAGTTGAAACAAAGGTTGTAATAGCAATTGATATGTCGATAATTAAGGTCAAGCATTTAAACAAAAGCTTAAGGGAAATGATGCATGGAATTGTCACATGTATGATAAAAATTACAGAACATCAATACAAGTATAAACTTGCATTCTTTACTCTGTTTGTCCCACGAATCATCATACATGTCCAATCACTTGCTTAGTGTATACACAATGTGCACAAAGTGTTTTTTTTTTCTCATATCAAGTCATTCTTAGTGAATAGGCTTGTTTTGGCATAAAATATATGGTTATTAAATTTAGCCTATACAGTTAGCACTAATCATAACAACATGAGATAATCTCTAATTTCACATGTCTTTCAACTTCGCTGTCTTATTTTGGTAGCTACCAGTTTAAAGGATGTAGTGTACGTTCACCCCTCGCTCGTTTCCTCTCTGGCAAGGTTTTGTTTGTCTTTGTGTGATAAAGAAGAAATCGTGTTGTACAATTGAGTACGTAAGAATCTAAGTATTAGATGCTGTGATCTTATAACTGCAGCCTTAAGAAAGGAAGAAAGATATGATGATGTGGCTAGAGGAGCTTAACTGGCTCAAAACAAAGTGAAGGGCCATTTATGTTTGTATGCCATTTCATCAGTTTATTTGGGTGCATTAATTGTTTCAGGATACCTTTTCTCAAAGGACACTTTTTAATAAATATATACTTATAAACACTTTTTTTGACTACATGCACTATGTTAATTAAGAGTGAAATAGATTTGCAATTGTATTACTTATCATTTGTTGCAGGACATGTAATGTGCTTGTGAAAATGAATAGATCACCAAAGTTTGCAACTTTATGTGTTTTTGAACAAAAGTTTAAAAAGCGCAACGGTATTTATTCTGCACAAATTGACAAAGTGGTGGTGGTGGTACGAAACACAAGAAATTGTAGAATTTAGTGGTGGTGTTCTCTTTTTTTTGGGCATTTTTAATGGAGTGACAAATAGAGTGGTTGAAATTCTGATTCTCTCGTTATATATATGAAACAAATTGCTTTCTACTATGGCCCATGATTCCCATGTCTTGTCACTGTTCAGCAGGAAGTTAATAACAAGCATTGACACAGAAGAGGCTGCTTAATTAGTTAATAACTGTAGATCTTTTTGGCTTCTAATTCTTCTCCTATCTAACCCTACCTCTTATTCTTGTTATTTCTGTATGGTGAATAAAAATTAGCTGGAAAATGCTGATTCATTTTTGGAATTGGAGTTATTATAGTTTTATGCTTGGGTACTAGATGTAAAATTTTACTAAGAAAAAGAATTTCTGATTTTGGAACAAAACAAATATATTCTGCTTAACCAGATATATAATATATGCCAACATTGCACCCGGCCCCTTTTTTAATACATCCATTGCCTCAGTTGCATTGTTTCCTAACATGTTCTTTCACTTGGAACATACGTACATCTATTGTCCTCAAAATCTTGAGATTTAAGTTGCCAAAAGGCTGCTTATAGTGAATTCATTTTATTTTTTTCATCCTAGCAGAATCATCTTAGAATGTGATGTGGATATTGCTTGCAAGTGATGCAAGGAAATGAACTCATGAGGTGGTTGGTTGATCTGTAACTCCCACTACAAAAAAAATCATGAATAGCTACGGAAAAATGCTATGGAATCAAATTTTGTAGCTATTTTGCTATGGAATATGTTACGAAATAACCTTCTGTAGATTTTTTGTTACAAAATTTTCTACGAAATAAAATTCCATAGCAAACTTATAACGAATTACGGAAATTTGTTACGGAATCGTAATTTGTAGTTAGTGTGCTACTAAATTTGCTACGGAATTAAAATACATAACTATTTTGCTACGGAAATTACTATAAATCTAAATTTCGTAAAAATTTTGCTACAAAATGATATTCCGTAGCTATTTTGCTACTGAATTTAGTTACGGAAATGAATTTTGTAGTTATTTTGCTATGAAATGAAATGCCATAGCTATTTTGCTACGGAATTTAGTTATGGAAAAGAATTTCGTAGTTATTTTGCTATAAAATGAAATTCCATAGCTATTATGCTATGAAATTTTACTACAAAACTGGTTTACATAGCTTTTTTGCTGCGGTGGAAAAATCCATAGCTCTTTCATTACAGAAACTTTTACGGAACTAAGTTATGTAGCTACTTTGCTATGTAATTTATTTTACCCTTAAAGTTTTTCTGAATTTATTTAATTCTTTTTTTTAATTTTAATAAATAATATATAAGGTAGGATAAAATATAACTTAGGGTGCAATAAACAATAACAGGTGACAGATCATCTATTTGTGCATCGAATTATATATCTCAATAGTCAATAATAATATACTAATTCTTTGTAAATTTTGAGTAGTGGGTAACTAGTTCTTGATTTTCGAGAAGTTTTTATGATGCTAGTAATAGAAAAAATTGAAAGTATTTGCTATTGTTGAGAAGAGAATAATAATCAGGTGAATTTACAGATTTGTCCTTATGTTATTTAAACCTTTTGGAGGGTATTAGGTTACTTAAATGACCACTTCTTTCTTTTAAGGGCTTTTTGGATGTGACAAAAAACTATAGTTACACAGAAAGACTAGTAATTGCTAAATAGGAGTTTCATGCCATTTTTCTATTCTTTTTTTCTCACTTTATTTAGTTTACAAATTGTATCCATTTAGCCTATCTATTTACTCTTCTTTCACTTAGGAAGAAGAGTTAAAAGGTGTTTTGGCTTTCATATCTTCTAACTCAACCTTTTTGAATTTTGTAATGTAATGTTCTGTTATATTATATTATGTCACTACAAGAAAAACAGCCTTTTACGACGCTCATTGCGCGTCGTAAAAGGCTCAGACGACGCGCAAATGCGCGTCAAGGAAGGCCCTGTCATAAAGAAAGATGACGCGCTTTTGCGCGTCGTCTATAGACGACGCGCATTTACGACGCTCATTTACGACGCGCAATTACGACGCACGTTTACGACACGCAATGCGTATCAAGGAATACCCTGTCATAAAGGAAGACGACACGCATTTGCGTGTCGTAACCTTACGACTCGCTTGTTAATGACACGCAATCCGTATCAAGAAAGCCTGTATCAAGAAAGGTCATGTCATAAATGAAGATGACATACATTTTTGCGTATCATAATTTTAAATGTTTAAAAAAAATTATTTATAGATTTACTTATTTTCAAATTAAATTTGTATTTAATGTTTCATAATAGAAAATAAAATATCATATACAAAAAATAGAATCCATTGCATAAATTTAATGTCATACAAATAATCATTCCATGGAAAGATAAAACAAATCAATAGAAGTTGTAACAAAAATTTACAAATGAAATTCAAAAGACAACAAAAATGGAAAAGAACCACACTAGGGTGTAAACCGCATGATGAACTTGATGGATTTCCCTACAAAAGACAACAAAAATTCAAAATTATTTGTTATAAATGTCTCATTAAGCTAGAAAAAATCACATGTCAAAAGGTAATATTCAATACCTATTTTAATTCAACCCTACTCAGCCTACTCTCCTGTAAAAATAATTTATCAGACCAAACATCCAACTCAGAAAACAATATCAAACTGTATAGTTGAATTAGCTTCTGTGACATCCTTGTTGTGGCGTGTGCACTAACTGCAGAAACCCGCCACATCATCAATTGCAAAGTCATCGATGCACTGGGTCCCAATGGTTTTCTCATCAACATAGAGAGGGGCCCACACATTGATGATGAACCTGAACTAGTATCTGCCCTTGTTGAAAGGCAGATAGCAGGTGCAGGTCTTGATGTGTTTGAGAATGAACCCCATGTCCCTGAAAAACTTTTTGATCTTGATAATGTAGTCCTTGTGCCACATATTGGGAGTGACACTGTTGAGACTGTAAAAGCCATGGCTGATCTTGTGGTAGGGAACCTAGAGGCTCATTTTTCCAAGAAGCCATTGTTGAGATTGTAAAAGCCATTGTTACTGGAGTTATTACCACCAGACTGAGGTGAAATCAAAATCAGAAACCTAAACAAATCAAAAAAGTAATATCAGGGCTGAAAATTGATTAAATACAAGAAATTTTTGGAATATATGAAATAGAAAGGGATAAAACCTCAATGTTTGGGTGCACAACTCGAACAAGTTCCCCACATACTCTTAATGCCTCTGCAGTAACTTAGTAATAGCGTTCACCAATAGCAAATAAAACAGGAGCAGAAATAGCCTAAGAGAAGATCTTATCACATGCAAAACATTATTGCTCTCAAGAAACTACTATGAAAATATTAACGACATTACTGATTTCTCTTAAGTTAATAATAGGTTGGTGGATCATCAAGTACCTTTTAGGATATAATGTAACATAGTAATCCATTCCATATTGATAGTCTCTTAAACTAGACTACACAATTCAAAGTGGTAATTGCACTACAAAGATACCAGCTACAGTCTATTAGCTGTCCATTTGAGAATTCATCTTGTTTTCTTCTTTTTGTAATTTTATCCATTTGAGTACTACTTCTTGTTCAATAACAGATCCTAACATTTGTTTTTTGTTTTTGGTATGTTCTTTTTTATTTGAGTTTTTATTTTGTTGGTTTGACTTTTGGGGATTTTGTTTGATTTCAGGTTTTTTGTGGAGGAAGATGAAGGAGATTAAGAAGACGAAAAAGATAAGGGCATAATGGTCATTTACACAAATAAGCAGCTGTGTCGTAATCATTACTCTTTAAATAATTCTGTAAAACATTTGAAATGCGTTGTTTCTATGATTATCATTAAGGATCCAAGAATCTATTTAGACATGAACTTTGTAGCTAAATCCATTGAAGAATCAATGAACATTTTCATTTTCATTCACGAGGGTAAAAGTTGAAATAAAATAGCTTTACCATAGATTGAGCTCTACTGGAAATATATGCAGAAAGTGAAAATAAAATCCATAAATTGAGCTCTACTGGAAATATATGCAGAAACCAAAAGAATTTTTTTCGTTTTGTTTACTCTTTATTACATATTTATTTACCGAGTATAGGACTCACATGAACACAGTAGAGAAGGGACCTGGACATGATGATAAATAAAACTTAATAAAAACTATGAGTAAATTAACCTAATCACTGGAGATTACCTAAAAATCATAAATCCTAGAAGTTTCTGAAGATTAATTTGGGGAATTTGCATAGAAACTGAAACATACATAAGCCCTAGAAATCTATTAACATGTAAAGTACCTGATTGATGCAGAAGCATTTTAGTGGTTTGCCCCACTTTCACCACGGACCAAGATCGAGTTGCTTTTTCCTTCATTAACCATTGCCCTGATACATTCATTATAAAATAAAGAGGTGTGCAGAGGAGATAACCTAAAAGCAGAATCTGCAATTGCAAAACATGAGGATCTAGCTCCCCAAATGTTGTTCCTTTGTAGCGTTGCATCATTGTGTAATCGTTGAAATAAGAGAAAATAAAGATACCTGAGAGAAAAAAATTGAAGCTGTAATTATCAGAATTAACCATACATCTAGAAGAAACAGCACACAATGAAAAGGAAGAAGAAAGGTTCTTGTCCGTTTATTGCTTCCAGATAGGATGGGGGTTTATTTTTTTTAGGAGAACCGACGATAGAGGGTTGACTAGGGCCGTAGGAGCCATTGCTACAACCTATCAATTTCATTCATGAAGTATTATGGGAATAATACAAGAGGCGAATGTTGATTGCAATTTCAAATGAAGTATTAAAAGATGCTAGACCAAAAACCTGATAGAAGTCGTCGGAGCCAGAACCAACATAACTACCGAAGGTATTATTGACACGAATAGGGACGTGATATAATATGTGACATAGCTTCACATCGAGGTCCTCCTCTACCTGATTTGATTCGAGAGGCATGTATTCAACAAGGATTTTTGGGGAAGTCGTAGATCCTCAATCTGGTTGTACCAGAAGAATAAAGTATCGCGGCAACATCGGATTGAGAAACGGAGGGAGACAGAGCGGCATGGTGGTGGCGATGGTGCCAATGGATGTAACGGCGAGAAAGGCTACAAGGAAAAAGATGGGTTTTAGGTTAGAGAGAGAGAGAAAGGAAGAAGAAGACCTTGGCTTCTTTCTTGTTGATTGGAAGTGGAGGGGGGCCGGGGGGTTATTTTTTCACATAGGCGGGGTTTTAATTTTTGGGGATTTCATTTCCCGCTCAAAACGCGTGTTTCATTAAAAAAAATATAAAGCGACATACTTACAAGACACGCATTTTATAATAGGCGTCCTCTATATTTCTTTTTTTTTTTTCTTTTCTGACACTAATTTAAGGGTACGCACAAATGGGTGTTCTCTATCCTTCAAATTTTATAAGAGATGACATTATTTTTTGTACGCACGCTTTTGCGTATCGTAAATCACTGCGTGTCATTATTTGCGCGTCATTAAAGGCTGTTTTTCTAGTAGTGTGTAAAGTTTCCCACATGAGGAAGAGTTAAAAGGTGTTATATTATCTAATATTCTGATGCTTCTTCTCTTGCAAATAAAAATACCAAGACTTATCCTATAAACAAAAGTCAAAGTCAGTTTGACTTTTATTATGATGTGAAATTAAAATTGTTTAAAGTTATGATGTGAAATTAAAAGCTTTTAAAGCTTGTACACACTGAATTTACTAAAAAAATGTTTTTCTCTATAACATGAGGTCCAGATCTTTTTTTAGTTGTAAATTTTGTTTTCGATAAGTTTTATCCATCTAAACATTCTTATGTCTCAAAAACATAATTAATAACTAATTTTGTATTTTATCGTGGAGAATTGGAGATTGTGAACCACTAAACCCTATAATCCTAATACTTCACCAAAAACATACCTTCCTCGTTCCTCAGTTTTCCCCCAATCTTCACTTACGTCATTATTGTTCGGACTTCGCTCTACGTGCTCCGTCCCCAAATGATCGACATGAACTATATAAATTTGATGGAGCTCCTCTCACAACTCTTGTTTGCTATGTCGTTCGTGGCCTTCTCTGTCAATCGGTAGGTTGTAGGAGCATAAAGAACGAGTGATTCCTGGTGAAGATCGATCAAAGACGAACGACTCAGCTGCTATCTTCATCTCTCTACGACTGCGAAGATCATGAATTGATCATCTGATTCCTGGTGAAGAGCGACTAAAGGAAAATGAAAAATGCTCTTTTCACTCTCTACGACTACACAAAGATAACCGACTATCTCGATCTCTATGCAAACTTATAGCTTATAGGTATGCGCTTCCATTATTTGTGTGTAACTTGTAATTGTGCCCTAACATTTACTCGTAACGTCATTGCAAACATCAACACCACAACTGATGGAAAGGTTAACTTAGATTTGTTGGTTATTGTGTGCTTGGATGGTTAAACTTGAATTGATAGTGATATTTACAAATTCATGAACCTTAATTTGAAGATTCGAAATGATTGAATGAACGAGGGAATGACGTTTGATGGATAATCATGAGTTTAATTATAACCTTCGGGGCATTGGACAATAGTGTTGACCAAATCTTCTTCATCTCTGTTGATACTAAATTTTTCTAATTGAAGTTGGCATTTCATGCTCGTTTTTGCAGGTCACTCATATCCTACGAGTTAGAATTAAAAGCTCATGATGTTCAGTAGTTATCTACAGATAGCTACAAAATCATCATATGAAAATCAAGGTGAGAAACTAAGCCATATACGATGTGGTAACTTACAAATGAGTTATGTTGGGCTCTTGAGCACCTATGCTTCTTTGAGCACAAAACTAAGGATATTCTAGGTTATGTTATACTCAAACCTTTTTTTTCTTCAAAATACAGACAATATGCAAAAACAACATGTTATCGAGAGGCCACAATCTTTCCAAAATACCTACTTGCAAGTACTAGGTTCTCTACAATGATGCATAACCTAATCCTAGATCATTAATCAAATAAAAAATATCATATATTCTATGCTAATCTCATATAGAGGTAACAAATGATGGTAATAATATAGTTTTTGTGTTCTACTAATATGATTACCATATTCATAATATGGTAATAACATGTATCTGTTGAATACGTCTTGCAATAGAGCGTATTAGTTATTGAAATACTGAACTCATATAGCCATATGTCAATTATTAACCTTAATTTGTGAGTCTCACATGTTCTTAGGATATGTAAGTGTAACGTTATCTATTTGTCTCCATACTTATTATTTTCTTTGTGTTTCAATTTTCAAACATAATTACTAGTCATATGTCAAACTTTTAATCAATGACTTAGTTTGTTCTTTATGACATGCTTATAAAATTTTCATGGTGACTTGTTTTATTCTGTCTATTATATGTTTTTTACATTTAGGAACCGGTGGAAAATTAGAAATGAAATCGGATGTTAATATAATGTGAATTGCTATTGATGACTTAAATAATTGCATCATGACTTGTAAAAAATTTGGTTTGTTTTTCTTTATTCCAGGTTCTGCTCTACTCCTATTCACCCTGCTAGAGATACATTTTTTTAGCTTAGGCTCAATTCCACTCCACTCAAGGTGATAACAAAACCATCATGTTTAAGCTTTGGTTCGCAAAATGTGATTCATTTTGTTTTGTGTTCATTTTCATATTTTATATTTCTAGTTGGTCAAAAACTAGGAAAACCCTCAAAGCAAAGCAAAATGGGATTTCATACAACAAATTGAATTTTTATCAAGTTAATTGTAAATTTGATTTTGCAGGTTTTGCCATTTTGGTTGAGTATATGTGGTTGTGTGTGTACCTAGCGGTTCAAATCCAAACTGCATGACTGTATTTATAATTAATATTCAGTTTTGATGATTAGGCAGCATTGTAGAAGAATTTTAGATGATACGATGTATCCATAAAATTGATGTAACTATTAAATTTATATTTACTATGTTTTTATATGTTTTTATGAATATTATAATTGGAAAACTGGAATTTGTTGAATATTTTTA